GTAAGATGTTACTTTATTTAGAATTTAATTTAATTTAATCTAAAATTAGAAACTGGATTAAGGAGGAATTTTCTTTTTCCTTTCTTAATGTTGGCTAGCGACCCTATAGTAAAAGGGAAGGAAATTTTGTTTTTAAAATTAAAAGGAAAATTGTATTTTTAATGAGATTAAAAATATAGTAGTTATAATTTCCTTTTGCATTGTCTACAAGCAAAAAGGTTATCCCAATTCTCTATAAATAGGGGTAATAGAAATTGGAGAAGAAGATTTGGATCTCCCAATTCCCTAGTGTTGACCGAATTTATTGAAAAATAAAAAGAGAAGAAAAGTTCTTCCAATTCTAAGTTTCTTCACATACATGCGTTGATAGTGAAGAAAGAAAAATTAGCGAGTGATCATAAATAATAGTTCTACCCTAGAGCCCACACTCTAAGTCTTGTAAGTTTCAAAGAGTAGACGTTGAAGATTTGGGTATTCTAAGAGAGCTTGAAACTTAGATCGTTTGTTGGTCAAAGAATTCAAGTTATCTTCCTAATTGTTAGCAAGATATAATTCTTATACTAAATTAATTAGATTCATTTATTTGTTGTAAATTAATATATTCTGTAGCATTCACAAAAATTTTATGAAAATTTTTGTTCGGGCCCGATCCATATTTTCACGCTTCCGCACCCGAATTCGATTCGAAAACCAACAACCTTTGGGGTCAGTTCTCGAAAGTTCTTGAAATTCATGTTTAGTAATAGGGGTATAGAGGCGAACCTAGAAAAGATAAAGGTTGTGCAGGATATGGATTTCCTTACAAAATCAAAGGAGGTGTATAAGCTGACTAGATGTGTCGCCACCTGAACAGGTTTATATCTAAAGTCACGGATAAATGCATTCCCTTCTTTGGTACAATTAGGGAAAATAAACGTTTTAAGTCGACTCCACAATGTGAGGAGGCATTTCGAAAACTAAAGAAACACTTAGGAAAGCCTCCAATTCTTTCTAAACCAATTCTACAGGAAAAGCAAAGCCTCTATCTCTCCATCTTAGAGCATGTGGTAAGTTCGGTACTGGTTAGAGAAAATGGGAAAGCATGGCTATCTGTTTACTATATAAGTAAGTGTCTCTTGGACGCCAACACCAGGTATCTAGAAATGAAAAAATTAGCTCTCGTTTTGATGGTGACGTTGAGAAAACTCCGTCATTATTTACAAGTGCATACTATAAAAGTACTAATAAATCATCCTTTGAGACAGGTACTGCTGAAGCCTGAGACATCTAATCGACTTTTAAAATGGTCAGTGGAGCTGAGTCGGTTTGACATCGAGTACGCGCTGAGAATCTGCTGAGATAAGGTGCTTTCGGGTTTCGCTTGTTCAAGAAATGGGCCGAGAATCAGTCATCTTTTCTTTGCGGATGACAGTCTAGTATTTACAAAGTTGATGTAGTTGAGTGTGCAAAGGTGAAGAAGATTTTAAGATGGTATGAACTGGCGTCTAGTCAAAGTATAAACTTCCAGAAATCTTCTATAACTTGCAGCCCGAATGTTTCTGAAGAGGAGAGAAATGCTATCCAAGATGTTTTAGGTTTAAATGCAGCCCTTGCTCATGACCGGTATTTAGGCTTGCCCACATTGGTGGGGAAAAAAAAAAAAAAAAAAAACAAACTTTCCGGTTGATCAAAGAGCGTGTGGGGAAAAAGTTGCAACAATGGAAAGGGATACTGTCGTCGAATGGAGGGCGGGAAGTTTTGATCAAAGCGATCGCGCTGGCCATTCCCACCTATACGATGAATGTCTTTCGCCAACCGACTGGGCTCTGTGAGGATCTCCATCATATAATTGCACAGTTTTGGTGAGGAGGAGATGATTCTCAAAGGAAGATCCATTGGTAGTCGTGGAAGAAGTTGTGTAGATCAAAATTGGAGGGGTGACTTGGCTTTCGAGACTTGGAGATTTTCAATTAAGCAATGCTTGCTAAAGAATGTTGGCGGATCCTTCAAAATCCTAATTCTCTGCTATCAAAAGTTCTCAAAGCTCATTATTTTCCGACTAATAATTTTTTGCAGGCCTGTTTAGGAAATAATCCCTCGTATATTTGGCGGAGTTTCCTGTAGGGTCGAGAGCTGTTATCAAAGGGCCTTCGTTGGAGTGTCAGGGATGGGTCTTCGATTCGTATTTTTGGTGATCCTTGGCTGCCTTGACCTGAGTTATTTCAACCCATAAGAAGCGCTACGGAGATCAATCGTCATTGGTATGTTTCTGATTTGTTATATGCTGATTCAGGAGGTTCACTAGATTGGAATACCGAGTTGCTGCAGTTTCACTTTCTCGCAACTGATGTTGATCATATTCAGAGTATTCCAATTGGTATGTTCAGTTGTCCAGATTCCCTTGTTTGGCACTATGACAAGAAGGGTCGTTACACTATCAAGTCAGGCTATTATAGAGCTTTGGCGGATAAGAACTAGGTGGCTTCGTCTACGGGGAGTGCTGACCGTAAATGGTGGAATTTCCTCTGGCTCTTAAAAATTCCCCACAAAGTGAAACTCTTTGTTTGGAGAGTTTTTCATGATATTTTGCCTTCCTGGTCAAGTCTTGCAAAGCGGGGAATCAATTGTGGAGAAGGCTGTCGTCGCTATTTTAGCGGGAAGGAGATGAGTTTTCATGCTTTAATTTCGTGCGATGCTGCAATGAGAATTTGGAGTTGTAGTACCTTTTGGTCTTGTCTCCTTGCTTTCCCAGGTGATAAAATTGATTATCTTTTAGTCGCATTTTTCAAAACGATGCAGCGAGAGGAGTTTGAATTGTTTGTTATGGTCCTTTGGTTCGTGCGAAAGGATACGAATGCTTTCACCTATGGGAATAAAATCTTGCCTCCTTCACACACTCTTGAAGTACGAGACCTAGTAGATCAGCTAGTCTCGACAGTTCTGAGATGGCAGGCCCCAGATGGAGACGCTCTCAAATTAAATGTTGATGCATCAGTTACAGCTAACACTAATTTCATTGGTGTTGGAGGTTTAATAAGAGACTCTATAGGTTTTGTTCTTGGAGCTTTTTCAGAAAAAGAAAAAACCAAGTTTGCACTCCCCTTTTGTTGCTGAATGTTTAGCTATACGTGAGGGGCTTTTATTTGCTAAGGACAGTGGACTTCGGTTTCCCTAGTTGAATGTGATTCTATTAATGCAGTTCGCGCGGTGAATGACCTCTGTTCTCATGTTGCGGAGTTTACGATTTTAGTCGATATCAAGATCTTGATGACTGAAGTAAATAGTGATTTTTATGGTCACATTTTTCGTTGTAGTAATAAGGCTGTCCACACATTAGCCAAGTATTCTCTTTTGCTTAATGAAGATCGTTTTTGGTTAAAAGAATATCTCAATTGCATTGCTAATTTTGTAAGTGCTGATATGATTGTTTCACATTATATATATATATATATATATGAATGTGTGAAGATAAATAAAGTTTATAGTTTGGATTATAAATGGCCGTAATACGTTTAGGACAATAATTATGATTATGAAACAAATACGCTTTAAGCTTATCATAATTTATATGAACTATTCGGGAATATAAGTAATTAAAGAATTCTATATATATAATAGTGAAAACAGAAAGATCCTTCACATTGAGTCAATACTATCCATTACAATAACAATATATAAAAACACATACATAAATATGTGTATATGAATATATATATATATATATAATGTAATGAGACGAGTTTTGAATAGTTACGTTTCTATTGATATGTACCATCAAATATAAAAATTTAATGACACGAGTGATAAAAATTTAATATCATTAATTGTCATAAATTTTTTTTAATCAACTATCTAATTTATTATAACCGTTGAATTAATATCTTACTGCTAAAATAATGATATCCATTGATAAGTAAATATTAGAGTAACCTATCATAACATGATTCTATTCACACTCCCCTTTTTACACTCTATACACACCCCATTTAATTTTGAAAGAAAATTTTATTTTTTACACACTCCTTATATTTCAAGATTACCCCTAACTATTTTCATAAGATTATTAATTCTTAAACATTTTATTTTTCTTTCTGCACCCTCCATTTTATTTTAATTTTACTATTTTTAATATTATTATTTTTTGTCTCTATTTTTTTTCATTGAAGTTTTGGGCATGAAGTCTTTTCTCATACATAAATTGCATTTGTTTAGAAAAATAAAAGACATAAATATAAGCATAATGATAAAATAATTTTGATATCTATTGAGGTATTGTTAAAAAAAAAAAAAAAGACAAAACAAGAAAAAAAAAATGAATTCGAAAAGAGTATAAACAAAAAATATATATAGAGAGAGAATGAAACATAAAAAAAAGAAGAAAAATAATGCAACGTTATAAAACTAAAAGATCAAAATGAAATGATCATCGTTTAAAAAAAAATGATTAGTAAAAAAAACATGAAATTAGAGATAATAATATGCGAGGTGTGCTGAAAGAAAAAAAAATGTAATTAGCTTTTTTTCTTATGATAAAATTTGATCATGTACTTAAGTTATGATACTTGTTTTTTTTTTTTTATCATTTTATGTGAGGGTCTTTTTGTCATAATAAATTAAAGTTTAAAAAGGATGTAAAGAGTAAAAAATGATGTGTGAATAGAACTACCCATTATAATCTTCTTAGCAATATAATGATGCTGGGTATCATATTTATTTTGTTCCGTCATAATTTTTTTAGGTGCATATCCCTTGAGGTCATGTCCAAATTGTAAGAACTAGCAAACTTATCATAATTTATGTCCGGAACTTTTTGAGAAAACGGTGCATAGATCCTGCAGAATTGACATATTGTAACGGATTTGTTATGATGATCAAGTAATTGGTTCAAAAGCCACATAGTAACATTATTGATAAGGGGTATAATGTGGAATTTCTTGGAGGGCCCAATTATATAACATATGCTAGAAATGTTCCAACACAGTTATACGTGATTGACGCATGCTGAACATATGAGATTGCAATTGCATTAAAAGTCACATAGTACTAATATTACTCATCATTGGTGTTACACGTCATGGCTAGTTATAATATATGAAATCATCCAACTCCTCTCCACATAAAGACCATAAAGTAAACCCATCAAACACTTGATATTGGCGACCTTCCAACATTTGACACAGAGAAAGGGTAAAACAGGAATATTATACAAGATTTCGCTTATTGAAACAAAGAAGAAATACACGAAACCACGCAAAGCCATTTCCAGAAAATTACATTCACAACCCCTCCGTGTAAGCCACCCCAGAATTCTTCAACCAATAACCGCCTTGGATGAGCTCCGCCACTGTGAACTTTTGGGCCTCTGATGGGCTGGTAATTACATGATAACCGGCCCAATTCACCCTCTTGCTAGTTCCCGCACCCGGGCCTTGATTCGCGTATTCCCCATAGTACAGCGTCTTCAGTGCAAAATCCTTGTCCCACTCAGCCCAACCAGCTGGATCAATAAGGTCACCAATGGTAGACTGCATGACGACAGTTCTTGAGTACTCCTTCCACGGACGGCCCAAATACGACTTGTACGAGGCCTTAACGGGCTCGAGATCTGAGCTGGCGGAGATTTCACATTTCTGGATCGAAGTGCCGGTGTTTTGGTTTGGGTCGGTTCGGCCTTGGGCCGTGACCATGTTTTTCTGCCCACTCATGCCCTTCCGGGCAACGAGCTTGCAGTTCTGGAACACGACGGCGGCGTTTCCGAAGATGAAGTCGACGGTGCCGGTGACGGTGGAATCTCTGTAGAATTGGCGGTTGGAGTGGGCGTAGAGAGTGTCTTGGTAAGCGTCAATACGACACCGGTTTATGACAGACTGATCGGCGCCGACTCGGAGAGCTACGGCTTGGTGCTTTTGTGGGCCCGCCGTGTTTTGGAACCATATGTCTTGGGCTATGAATCCATCGCCGACAGCAGCTGCAGCGGTAGATTATAATAATAATTTAATTATAATAAGCGATTAGATATTATTTACCTTAACCAACAGACACTGGACATGTGAGTGATAATGTTTTATATTTTTTATGTATTACATATGTCTAGAACGTTATTTTTCTCCAACCACTCTTGACAAGATGTGTAACATACATAGTCAATGTTGTCAACTTCAAAAATTTTATATTAATTCTCTTTCTCCTGCACTGTTGAAAATTATGCTAAAAGTGTGTATATATATTGTTGACGGTGATAACAGAATAATAATAATTTTTTTTAAAGTTAATACAAATTAAATGAACCAGAATACAATTAAAAATAATTAAACAATAAGAACATATGAGAATTATAGTGGTTCACCATTAATTTGAGAGCTACGTTTATTATGAGGATGAGAAAATTCACTATTTTGAAAGAGAATCTACGCACTAATGCTCAAAATGAGACTTAGAGATTTTATGACTCATGATCCCTTATTTATAACTTAAGTTACCGCTCATAAACTTTTCCTATTTGAATTTGGGTTGTTTTTCTTATCTTTTGAGATAGTTTCCCAAAAGATAGAGATTATAATCCATCAGGATAGTTTTCTTATTTAAATTTCATATATTTAGTTTATAAATAGCAAATCTTCGAGCAAATCTTGCGAATCTCATTTTTTGTGTCGTCTCGACTTCGTAAACGCTTTCAGAAGTATCTTCGCCTACGATTGCGAATATGGTTGGCTTCATGTTGTCTTTTGTATCATTTTTGAGCAGTTGACTTCCTTCATATATTTAACACTTTCTTCTAACAGTTAGCTCATACGAGAGTTGTTTACTGACATGGTGAGCTGTCCTTGAACATTTTGTCTTCTCATTTAAAGCGTGTGAGCTCCATCTAAAATATTATTTAGAATTCAGCGTTTCCCACCGTAATGTACTATACTTGTGGATTTTTTATTAGTGACTTGATGATATCCGGTTAGATTTTCTTGCAAATTTGGATATAAGGACAGTTTAATTAATAGTCCTAGAAGTCAAATAAGACTAATCATATAGCTAATTGACTGTGAACAACTTGCATGCCTTTACTAATTATGTGCACTAAGTCATAAGATATCATTACCTACGGTTGCAGAATTGAAAGTGGTCGATCCATCAATAACATTGAGACTACCGGTGATGATAGTGGAATCCATGCCATCCCCAACAAGCATCACATTCTTTTTCTTCTTTCCGATCTCGACATTCTCCTTGTAAGTCCCCTTCTTCACATAAATGGTGAACCTGGTCTTGCTATTGTCGGGTACTGCAGCCACAGCTTCCTTCACGGTCTTGTACTTTCCGCTTCCGTCCTCTGCAACAACAATATCGGCCTTGATAGCCTTCACCGAAGCCTGCAAGAGCCTCCGATCTCCCGCGGTAACCCATGTCGGTAAATCATCGGTCAACGTCTCAATCGCTTCGGAATTCGACGGAAAAACTGAAACAAGAATGGCCAAGGAGGTTCTAGCCCTTAATATTAACTCATTTAGATGAGAATCCATCAAGTTCTTGGCATATGAACCGTCCTCTAGGGCATCTAAACAAGTCACGTGGTTCGTCAAGACGCTACTAAGCCATGCATGCACGTCTTCATGGGAATGAGACGTTTGCTTTTGAAGGAAAAGAGTTGATATGGAATCCACAACCCTATCTTTGGATATGTCCATGAGCTCTGCACAGTCAAGGAGAGTAGCTCGATCCCTCGGATTGTTGATCCGAAGGCGGACATCGTTTGCCATCTTGAGAGCTTGTTGTATGCGAGGTGTGGTTTTTTCTAGGAAGGCTTTGAGCAGATCATGATGATCGGCCACGGTCGAATATTGGCGGGCTGCTTCCGAGACCATGGCCAAGCATGATTCTTTGTCGACCGATTGGTCACAGATTTTGTGTAGTGGCAAGTTTGGAGGAGTACTAAGCGAGGTCGTTTTGATGGAATGGATAGCAAAAAAAGCTGTGCTTACAAGGGCAGCAATGGAGATCAGAAGCAGATAAGGAATCTTGGAGTGGGAAGACTTGGAAGTTTCAAGCAAAGGCTGATTGGTTGCCATGATTAATGGTGGCTGAGATTTCTGTGTGGCAAAGTTGTGATGCCCATGGGAACGCTTAAATAAGAGCGGATTCAGATCCCTCGGCTAAGTTTTAGTATTTTAAATGTTGTCCAGCTAACTAAATTGTCTCACATAATTTAATTCATTTTAGATGGGAAAACACATAAAAGTCAGTTGAAAAGCATTTTAAATCTTTTTAATGATATGACATAGTGTAATTTATTGGATAAAGAAGAAAAATAGTCAGAAAATATGATTCCAAAAGATCAATTAGGTCCAAAGGGAAAAAGACATTAATAGGGGTTCTACTTCCAATGTTGAACCCACCAAATGTATCAAACACTTGTAGCGGATAGTTTTTTTCTTTTTTTTTTTTCTTCCTGTTTTTTAATTATGCTCATAATTATCTAAAACATGTTGTAATTAATTATATTTCTGGAGTTTAAAATATGAAAGTATAGATAATGATTAGGGTAGCACCAGGAATAATTAATAGATTAATGACACCTTTTCTTACCCTTTTTTTCTATATTGTTTCTTAAAAGATACTTTGTTTAAGAAATTCTTGGTACACTTTTGGTATTGAGCTTAATAAGAATGGATGAAACTCACTCTCTTTTAGTATGTGGTGTTAAATGTCAGTAGTGTCCATTAGTGCTGTTTGTTGGGCCTATTTAGTTGAGCTTCATAAAAGTTGTTTTCGGCTTCCTGAGATCAAAAGCTACTAAGTGTTAGATGCTTTGTCGTGTGTTGGTTCTCCAAAATAACTTCTGATTAAAGTTACAAAATATGTCTTCACTAAAAAGTTCTTTTTTATGGTATTAAAAAGAAAAATATTTTTGAATAGACATTAAAACTTGTATCAGAATTTAAATATATGATATAATAAACGTTATTCTACAATTCTATTGCTTATTAGAAAATTTTAAAACCATTTTGAGTTATATAAGCTCTTTTACAAATATGGTTCTAAATGTGGAGATTAAAAAAATGTGTGTAAGTAGAACCACCCTATATCTAATATAAATCTAGTCTAACTTAATTTAATCTAATCTAAACATACATAAAAGAGGCAAAACCTCATTATTATTCATTTTCCATAGGCAGCCACATGGAAACTTCTTTTTGGTTTTTCCCCTATTCCCCCCTTTTCAGCCTCTTTTTTTCCCCTTCCATTTTAGCCTTATTTTTTCCTTTATTTTTGCTTTCCCTGCTTTTTTTATTTCTTTTAATATTTTTAAATGTTTTTTTATTTTGTTAATTTTTCTTTATAGTCTATTTTTTATGGCATACTATTTAAAAATATTTCTTTTCTAATTTGAAAATAACTTCTTTCGTATGTAAGGTTCTTATATAGGTTTTATTCTTTTTTTTTATTTTTTTCAATAGTTAAGATAACTTTTTTCAAATGTGTCCTACTACTTGTTATATTCTTTTTTTTTTATGATTAGCTCAGTAAAATATTTTTTCCTCAGTTATTTCGCCTACTACTTGTTATATTCTTTTTTTTTTTATGATTAGCTCAGTAAAATATTTTTTCCTCAGTTATTTCGTTTTTAAATAGGTTTTTTTTATTGCAAATTTTAAAACTATTATTACCTAATCTTATCTTATCTTAACATATATAAAATTCACTAAGACCGTTTTTGTCTATGTTGTATCTATGGTGACGTCTCAACTTCATCTCTTCTATATATCTTTGATCATCTAATCTAATTTAATCAAACATACATAAAAAGAGCTAATGCTTCGTTAGTATTCACTTCTCAAGGACTATCCCATGACATGCTTCTACTTTATTTTCTTTCTTTTTATTTTGCCAATGTTTCTTACAGTCTATTTTTACGTGTGCTTTTTAAAAATATTTCTTTCCTATCTTTACTCTTATGAAAATAATTTCTTTCATATGTGTTCTTATATAATTTTTTATTCTTTTTTTTTTTTGTCAATGGCTAAGATAATTTTCTTCAAATGTGCCTTACTAAATTGCTTTCTGTGTCATTCCTTTTTTTTCTTTTTGTAATCTTTTTTTATTATTATTTTTTCTTTTGCCTATTGTCATTTTTTTCTTAATATTCTTTGGCAGTTTATTTTTTTACCATATCATTTTTTTGAAATACTTTTTTATTTCACTTTTTTAATTAAAATAATTCCTTTTTATATACATCTCAACTTAAGTTTTCTTTTGGGTCAATAACTCCTATAAAATCTTATTTCTTTTTTTATAACCTTTTCTCTTTTTGTTTATTTCTTTTTTCAGCTTTTTATTTCATTATTTCTTCTTCTTTTTTTTGCGTATTGTCTTTTTTATTTTTTTCCTCTAATTTTCGTTGGTAGATATTTTTTTTTTTTATAATATCGCTCTTTTAAATATTTTCTTTTTCTCTTTATTTTAATCAAAATAATTCATTTTAAATAGAATCCTATTAACTTTTTTTTTAATAAAAAACTCCTATATAACTTTTAATTCTTTTCGATGTGATTATTTGATTGATTTTTTTTTTTTTTCTCTTGCTCCATTAATGGACTTGGCTTTTAAGGAGACCAAGTATTTTAACCCAATATCAAATATACAAAGTTATTTCTTACCTGGTACGCACGTGGTTCAACTATTATAATAAAGATGTATAGATTAATGAAATGGTTGAACATCATCTAATGCAATAAAGAAATAGATTAATAAAATGGTTGAATATCAGCTAATGCAATGAAGATACAGATAGATAAAATGGTTGATATCATGGGGAAATATTGAATATATATGTTCTAGTGCGTTAAAAAGTAGTTGTACGCTTTTCATGCCAAGGATGAGGTGTGCACATGGTGGTATTATGACACTCATTATCTTTTACCTTGGTTACTCGTAAGCCATAAATCATAATCGTAAGTCTCTTCTGGGGACGGAAAAAAGTAAAAAAAAAATATCTCACTTTAAAGCTAGTGGGATTTTTGTGCTGTAACCATCATGGTATATCGCTTGAAAAATCGAAGAGACAACTACGTTACTTTAGACTTTAAAAGCATGCCTAGAAAAGCAATAAATGGATCAGTGCAAATATGAGACGTTCTTTTCTCTTCTAGATCAGTCTGAAAGAGCCATACACACGATACATATATACTTTTTTTTAGAACACACAATACATATATATATATATATATATGTATGTATGTATGTATACATATATGTATATATAGAAATAGAAATAGAATGCAGTCGCATATGGTTTCAATTTCTTATTTATTTGTCGTCTTCCTCCCCCACTGTCCATCTTGAAATCTCTGTTAATTAACTAAATTGTTTTCTTGCCGGTTTTGCTGGGATTATTATTGAGAAGTCAGACAATAATGCATATTACTTTATATAAAATATGCAGATAAAGTATGTAGTGCATCAAAAAATGTGAAGCTCGAGTGGTTTTTTTAAGGAAAAATTCATAAAGACAGCAAGTTGTTGTTCTATGTATTTTTCTCTCCAGATAAAGTATGTAGTGCATAAAAAAAGAAAAATATATGTGAAGTTATAGTGGCTTTTTTACGGACAATTAATTCATAAAAGACAGCAAGTTGTTCTTCAATATATTTTTTTCTCTCTCCGTATCGCTAAAGAAGATAAAACATAAATATTAAACGTTCTGGCTGCTACCAGTTCCAACTCGTGATTAACATGTGGATAACTGTTTAGCTAGATGGCTTGATTAGTTTGTTTTGTTCTTAATTAAACAGACATCAAATGATGTTTATTGGATTGATCAGCGATAGATATAAGTATTTACATCAGTGGGGAAAAGTTTATAATAATAAGACAAACTTTTAAACTATAACAATAATATTGCAAATTAAAATGAAATTGTTTTTCAATGATTCTTCATAAATGTGTGGGTGTGTGTGTGTGTGTATAAATGAGTTATAGAAAATAAAATGAGAAAAAGTCTACCAATATTCATGCGATAAATTCTTTCTTATATTTGTATTTTGTTATTTAAAAGGGAATTTTAAAATATAAACAAATAGTTGGGAGAAAATTTAGAGCAATATAAAGATAAGAGGAAAGATTTTTACATGAAGACATGGGAGAAAACCCAATAAAGATAGGGGGAAAAAAGTAATACATGAGCAAAGACAATCATGTTAAATAAGTATCTCAAACGTCCTAGTTGTGATGCCCAGATTTCTCACATACTAGTTGGCCAATGCATTGCATGATTTTACATTGATATCTTCACCATACGCGTACGGCCACACCGTCATGCATAATGTTTCCCCCTAATATGCTGAATTTGGATTTCGAGCTGGGCATGATCCAACTCTTGCCGACCATTCATGGGTTAGAAAGCGAAAATTAATACATACATATTAGGGAGTTTGAAGAAGTGGTGGCCACCTTTCACAACCGAGCTGAAGCCATGGACTCTGTGCGATTGAAATTTTTCCCTTTCTCTTTGAAGGACAAGGCTAAAAGCTGGTTGTATTCTCTGCGACCTAGGTCTATTGGAACTTGGGAAGAAATGATGATAGCATTTTTCAACAAATATTTCCCGCACCATAAGACCAATGGTCTGAAGCTACAGATCTCGACCTTTACACATAAGGACAATGAAACTCTCTATCAAGTTTGGGAACGGTTTAAGGATCTGTTAAATCAGTGTCCCCACCATGGTTACGAGAGTTGGCGCATTGTCAGTTATTTCTATAAAGGACTCACGATCCGAGAGCGCCACTTTGTGGAGATGATGTGCAGGGGTGAGTTTCTCCAAAAGGACCCCGCAGAGGCTTTTGAGTATCTTAACGAGTTAGCTAAAAATGCCCACACATGGACTGGTCCAAGTGCTACTGACATCACTAATCAGTCCCGACCAGCTGGAATCTATCAACTAAGGGAAGAGGACAATCTCAAAGCTTAAATTGAGTCTTTGACACAACAAATTGAGACCCTCAAAACCAAAGAAGGTAGAAGAATTCACATGGTTGCTAAGGCAGAGATACAATAGCCTTGCTTTGTTTGTGGAGGGGTGGAGCATCTAGCTATGGATTGCCTTGCTTACAATGAAATGAGAGGGGTTTATGATGA